TCAGGATTTAATTTTTGGACATCTACACTTGATACTGCATAACTAATATTTATATCCAGTATGTGCTTGTAAACCATGTGGACAATTCAGGTAGCAAATCATGAAATATGCCCCATGCCCCTTGTGAATCTGGAGAATCATTCCAATGGCTAGTTCACAATATATTCATCTCTAGCCTTTGGCAACTATAGCTGTTTTTCTTTACTAGCAGATCATGTATACATGGATAAAATAAGAGAAATCTATTTACCCGTTTTACAGATTAATTTAATTGTTTATATAATCATACTTGGAATTCGGATGAATATCTTTATCTTCACACTGTATAACAGCAACTTTTTCTCATTAATTTACAGTAACTTTCTAAATTCAGATATTCTCACATGGGACAAATTAGTATCGTTGTATTGTTTACGAATTAAAATATTAAATTGATTTCATAAACTTCAAGAATTCCTTTGGAATTCTTAAGGAATTCCTTTAAAATTCCGTGATAATACATGTGATTGTCTATAGTAAGGAAATATTAAAGGAATTTCAGAGGAAATTTTAGAATTTAGATAGTTGCAATCATGGGTGAGCACATATTTTGTGAAACTGTTTCAAAATAAAATTGCATTTCAATTAATAAAGAAATGCAAGAATGTGAAAGAAACCAAATTATATACAGTGAAACTTTAAAGTGGGAAAGAGATAGGGTGGTGAAATACGGTTAGTGTTGTAAAATATAAGTAAAGCATATGGTTAATATATGTTTATGCATGGGACTAGCATATTGCACTATCTCATGAAAAGGGAATATAGCGTTTAATACAAACTATAAAAACCCATTCATATTTAAATTTTACAAGTAGACAAATTTTAAGCCTTCAGATAACTATAATTCTTTATATAGTACCTTGCTATTGTAGGGCTAACCCATAATATAAAGGCATGACTGTTGTGTGCTTTAATTTATAACTCCACAAGAAATAAGGGGCAAGGGATATTGGTAAACAAGTATTGCCAATCAATCCTATTCCCTTTTAATTATAATGTCCACTGTGGTCAAAGCACCCTATACTAATTATTATTTACTCTCTAACAGCAGATGATCTTACTCATCAAGGGCAATTTTGTACCTTGATGAGTAATACGCATACAAAATACTAAACTGTTTCATTACATATTTTATGTCTGAACCTTTGACATTGCAACAAAATAGGTTTGGGTGGGGTAAAAAAATTTTCTGGCATACCACCGGTGGGGTAGCTAGAAATTTTGTTTCGAAAAAGGTGGGGTAATGATTTTTTCCGGCTTCATTATACTTTCTCTTCGGCCCCCACCCCTGCCATAAATAATGACCAGTCCCTTACTATAGTGGATCTTCCCATTCCCATAATAAACCAATTAGATCTGACATTTTAAATTGTTTTCAGTGCACCACTGGGATACCAGGTTTCAAATTACTTCTAGTATCATATGTGACAATCCAGTATCCTACTTCTGGATACTGGTAAACAAAACAATTTTTGGCATCTCAGAACCATCAAAGGAAGCAGCCAAATATTATCTGCCTCTCATTGTTAGAAATTACAACAACAACAACAACAACAACAACAACAGGAGACTCAACAGTTAACAACTAGACCACCTACTGTAGTTGCAAATCAAAGGCTGGATATTTTCGTGAAGGCATACTCATAGTATACAGTCACATGCAGACATTGGCAGACCATAGCTCTATTGTAATGTTTGAAATTTGTAATATCCAAGTCATTCACACTTTGGTACCATATCTATAACCAAACAAGTATCTTGCTGATATGTGATACTGCAAATTTCAGACCCTGGCAGCCTGATTTGAGGTTAAGATGAAAGGTGTGGGCAATGTTGAGGTAAATTTTTAATTTTGGAAACCATGAATGTTCCATTTTCACATGCATTATATTAAGGAGCCACGTCCATATTCATGTTGCCACAAATAACGTGTAATCAACATTACGAGTGAGTGGCTATGTGGTTTTTTTGTGAACTTGTCAATGTTATCTCGTCGCAATTTGACAATTAATGTCCAAAGTAACTATCACAATGCAGCTTTTGTATTATAAAATTAATACGAAAGTCAAAATACGATTGAATGTCGATCAACGTCGATTTGACGTTATTTGTTGCCACAAATCAATATTTGCAAGGTAGTTTATAACAGATGAGTTTTGCACTTCACTTGGTTCAACTAGAATGTTGTGTTGGGTGGATAATCCAAGTGAGCACAAGCAACATATAAACTCAATTTAAGACCTAACCAGGGAGGTTGCAATACTAGGTTGGCAGGAATCTGCAGGAATCTGTGGCAGGAATCTGCACCAGCCTGCATGCACTGAAATCTCAGGACCAATGGTTCGATCCCTTGGATTATATCCAACCCTGCAAGGCACTTAGCAGCCTATAAATTTGTTTAGCATTTTGCATATATAGATATCCTATATCAAATGCTTTAGCAATTGATGATATTTCATAAGATTATTCAGATATATTATTATTCAGTATACTGTAGTTCAGTCTGTTGGTTGTACTGACTGATAATGCTATTTACTGTGTGTCGTTAACTGGCAGACCTCTCAACTCTCACGCATTCGGCGTGAGTCTCACGCAATTCTCTTCACTCTCACGCTCTCACGCCACGTTTAGTAAATCTCACGCATATAGCAGTTTCATAGTATTTTTTCAATAAATAAATATAATATTGTATTCTTAAATGCACATTATTAATCATTATACGGATCGCGAATCGAATATATAATCGCGTGTTATTGTTCCTGCATATACGGACCGACATTTTGGCTTTTGCCCGCAATTTGGATACAAAATAGTACGCATATGTAAATACGGCGGACAAAAGGCCGCAGAATCAGTCAGGCAGAATTCTATATGTAAATTATCAAAGGCAAATTAAAGCTCATTAGACATTACTGTATGTCACAGAAATACAGTTATTGTAACTAAAGTGCTTTGTCTTAAAGGAAGTTATGAAGCAATGCCAATGACGTATTTCATTAAAAAACACCAACTCTCATAATCTACGAAATGCCATTTCAGACCCCCGGACTTTTAAAAAGGTGTCATCCACATCCCCAATCTCACTCTTAACTTCTCTGGAAAGTTGAGAGGTCTGCATAGCCTCAATCGAGCTCAGTGAAATGAATATAACTGGAAAGCTACCTTCAGATAAAGTCGCCAGAGTTCGGCCTGAAGCCAAAGCGTAAATACACGAAATTTAAGCTACTTAAAGTAGAATAAGTTAAATTAATATAATATAATACTGCTAAACTTTTGAAAAGGCGAGACTTTATCTTACAATAATTGCTGTAGGTATACTAGTATACAGGTAGGTGCTAATGCATGCAGATTGCAGGTATACATCAGTTTATTTCCGTAAATTGTCCCAAGAGAACCAGTCACTCCTAAGGCTAGGCACACTATCAATAAACAATTATTCCAAAAAAATAAGGAAAAGCTTAAAGTATAAAGTCTATATATACTGGAAAGTTTTACCTGAATAAATGCATTCATATATGTAAACATTTGTGTGCTGTTAAAAAGCCTTTTGTAAATTTTAAACAGACTTCACACAACACCGTTTAGATGTTCTTGCAGGTTTTTTATTGATGTAATTTATATTTGCCAAACGAAAAACTAATTTTTAACAGCCTCACTATCAGTGCGTTTTACACGCGTGCTTTAATGTTAGTTGAAAATTGTGATACTTTCGTTTTCTTATTTACAGGATCACTGTTTTCCATCATAGCTTCCATTGAAAGTCTTTGTAATTTTCTGGCAAACACAATCTTCAATCCTGTATACCAGACCTCATTGAACTATACTTGGCCACATGCCAATGGTCTCATTTTCTTCATAAGTGCAGGGATAGTCTTTATACCGTTTATTATTGTCAGGTAAGGTTTCATCTTTAAAACGTTGCAGCGAACCAAAACGCTTTGTCGCATCATGGCATGGCTGCAGAAGTTAGGAGTGACGCTATCTCTATAATACAGGGAGCTCACTCGAAATTCCATACTTCCAAATTTAGTCGAATTAAGTGTTTAGGAGTAACAGGCCAACTCAAAATTAGGGGTACACTGGATATGCCGGATAATTGAAAAATATCCTGTCGCATTATCTGGCCGGATACTGGATATTGATTATTTGTAAGATTCAGGCCTAATCATTCAAGGTTAAATAATTATCCGCATTTGCAAGCTTGCATGTTATTTCTGGTACTGTTATAAATTTCTGTAATGTTTAAGGTTGTGTTTTAATTATACGACTGCTTTTTTTACTCGATGTTACCATAATAGCTCAGTATTTAGTAGAGCTGCTCCCATCGGTTAATTTTCGTAATCGATTAATCGTTGTCAACAATCGATTAATATCGATTAATCGTATTGATAATTAAATAAATTTAAATATGACATGCCCATGGTGCAGGTTTGTAAGTGTTTACTAAATTTTTGGAAGTTTCACAGAAACCTGTCAATTTCATTGCTCAAATATGGCACTTGGTGTGGCCAAACTAACGTTTTAAAACGTGAAACAAGGTTTTAAAATCCACACGCCGCAATGTTGGACGCAAATGCTAATAAATTCTTCTAATAAAAAAATTTAAAGATATTTTAGCAGAACTGGTAAACCCGATCAGACTAAGGTAAACTTTGCACGCTGAGAGTGAATTTTATATTTGACGGACAAAGTTCTGAATGTTTGTCATTTAAATTAATCACAATCTTGTCGCAATTTTTTAAATTAACCAGGAAAGAAATTAAATAATTCCCGCATCAGGCGTTATATATGTGGTGTTAATATATATATATATATATATATATATATGTGGTGTTAATATATATATATCTATATATATATATATCTATATATATATATATATATATATATATATATATAT